AAATTACGTGGAAAGCAATTGGGGAAGACACCTAATATCTACCTCTGGACTCCACATGCATGCACACACTTATGACGTGCACATGCACATACATGAACACATACACACCAAAGAAAAAGGATAAGAAGGGAAAAAGAGGGGATAGAGTGAAAGAAAGAGGAGGTAGAGATGGAGAGAGGGGGAGAGAATGTGTAGGGGAAATACAACACTTAAGGATGTTGGTCTGGGCAGATTTTGAGGGGTGACTCCAAAAACTTGGATGATGAAAGTAAAAATGAACAAATGGGGGCTGCAGAGATGATGGCTCAGCGGTTAGGAACATTGGCTGTTCTTACCGAGGACCTGGGTTCAAACCCCAGCACCCACATGGCAGCTAACAACTGTCCGTAACTCCAGTTCCAGGGGATCCAACAGCCTCTTCTGTCCTTCGTGCGCATTGCACACATAGGTACACTTACCTACATGCAGCCAATACATGCATACAGGCGTGGTGGCACATGCCTTTAATCCCAGCACTCGGGAGGCAGAGGTAGGCAGATCTCTGTGAGTTCAAGGCCAGCCTGGTCTACATAGCGAATTCCAGGACAGCTGGGGCTACGGGGGAGACCCTTTCTCAAAAAAAAAAAAAAAAAAAAAATGAACAAATGGATTACATCTAGCTAAAAAGCTTTTCTTCACAGCAAAGGAAATAATAGTATAAAGAAACAATTTGATAAATGGAAAACATTTGCTGAATAGACATTTCTCAGCAATAGGAGTGGGTATTGGAACTGAGGCTGTGGGGTAGAGGGAGGGGAAAGGGGGGTAGAGAGAGGGAAAATGGGAGAGTAGACCTAAATAGACGTTTCTCAAAAGAGAACATACAGATGTTCAGCATCACTAATCCTTGAGAAAATAAAAATCAAAACAAATGAAATATCTGTCCCCAGTTAAAATAGCTCTTATCAAAAAGACCAAAAAAAAAAAAGGATGGCTCAGAGGTTCTCAGAGGTTAAGAGCACTGACTGCTCTTCCAGAGGACCCAGGTTTGATTCCCAGTACCCACATAGTGGCTAACAACCATCCATAATTCCAATTCCAGGGGATCCAGCACCCTCTTCTGACCACCACAGGCATTGTATGCATGAATACATTTACATATGTGCAGAGAAAATACTCCTATACATAAAATAAAAATAATTAAAAGTTTTTGCAAGACAGAAAAAAAATTCTGATAGAGATGCAGGGGAAAGTCAAAGCTCCAAGTACTGTTGGTTCTAATGTGAACTAATGCAGTCATTGTGGTTCCTCAGAACTCACAGATAGACTTCCCGTGTCATCAGGCAATCCCGCTGCTAGCCGTGTTACCCCCAGTAATTGAAATCAGTGGGCCAGAGAGACATCTTCACTCATGTGCTTATTGTAAGTGTTCACAGTAGCCCAGACATGGAATCAACCTAGGTGTTCATCAGTGAATGCATGAGTGGATAAAGAAAAGGTATTATACTAATGTATATGTGTCTTAAACTGTGAATGGATACCTGGCAGCATAGATGGACCTGGAGGCCATCATTGTTAACTAAGTGAGGCAGCAAAAGAAAAGTACCACATGTTCTCTCTCACATGGATGCTGAACTCTTGGTCTTAGATAAATGGAAAACAGAGTCATGGTTGCCACAGCAGGAAAGGAGTTGGAGAAGGGGACTAGAGATGGCTAATAGCTACAGGAATGGCATTGGAGAGAAGGAATAACTTCTAATTGCCATGGTATGGTGGGTTGCGTACCTGTGGTTGACAGTGATTATTTGACAACAGTAGAAAGGACTTTGACTATTCTCAACACAATGTCTGAGGTGATCCAGCCATTCTGATCTAATCATTACACATTTTGTACATGTACTGAAATGTCAAACTATACCCCACCCAAAACAACCCTCAAAGATACGACCACATGGTTGGCTGGAAGGCTAACCTTCCTACTCTTAATAGAGCACAATGAGAACTTTCATAGCCCTTTTTCCTCACTGACAGTGAGTACGTGTTGCCTCAGAGTCTCTGAGAAAGGTTTTCCTGTTTGGATGAGTGTAATCATGGAAGGACGTGGCTATCATAAATGCCTGCTGGCCAGTTCTGAGAAGAAAGTTATTCTTTCCTAAAATGTTTACAATACGCATATTTACCTTGATTTTAGCCAAAGTCAGTCTCAGAGACTGGTCTGGATTTTGTTTTGTTTTTTAAAAGATGACAGTGTTACCAGGATCTATAGATTCTGTCTCTATAAACCTTTGAATCTGAAATAGAGTATAGCCACTTACAAGTCCATCAGTCTGAGGTGTTTCCTTGTTTTGATTTCTCTCAGCAACAGAGCAGTCCTTGCTTTCTGGCCCTCTTCACCCTTTCTGTTCTTTGACCTTTCTTCCAGTCTAATGACTCATATACCATGGGGCCTGTCCATGCCCTGTATTTGTTGATTGGAAAACTGATGTAATTTATTTGTACAATAGCTTTGTAGTGGAGTAATGGGGTGTCTGAATGAAATGACTTTCTTCTTGTGTTTCCCAAGTAAATTCTCTCAGTACTGTCAGCATCTCCACACTAACGGAGACTGGCTCTGCCACCTCCCATCACCTGCACTCCTTCTGTCCCCTTTCCTGTCATCCAAAACACTGTCTTTCTTGACCCTTCATTGCATGCTTCCTTCTTTCCTGTGCCTCATCCTGGCTTTCTGAGTCTATTTTTAAACCACCTATAGATCATTTTTACTGAATCTTGTTCTTATTGAGAATAATCTTTTCTGCATTTTAATCTCACCCCCAAGGCAGTTTGGAGACAGACTAATAAATTCTTGGGCCGAATAGGATTTTAAAACTAGCATGTCCTTTGGATTTCTTCTGATTTCAGGATGCGTATAACAATATGTTATGTTGATGAAATTTTTATTAACAGATGCTCTTACTAAACTTTCATGTGGCTCTCTGATGTAATACTTAGCATGTTCCATGTTTTTTTTACTTTGTTTCTTCTTTATTAAAATTATACTATTGTATCAATTAGTAATATTTTCACCTGCAAATAACAATAGTTGTTATAGCGACTTCTTGAATAAGGAAATTGGTGATTTGTTGTTATTAACCAGAGTGTTGCGGCGTCTTGGGGTTACATCCAGTTCACTGGGTCAGAATCAGGCTCTTGTCCTTCCTTTTCCTCGGGCCGACCATGTTGTCATTTTGGCTCCACACCTCCTGTCTTACATCACATGGTAACAGATTTAGGAATCATGTCAAAGGAAAACAGAGTAAGGTTATATGGCTGGACAGATCAGCGGTTAAGAGTGTGTTCTGCTCTTTCGAGAGGACCTGAATATAGTTCCCAGCACTCATGTTGGGAGGCTCACAACTGCCTGTAATTCCAACCCCAGGGACATCTGCTCCAGCCTCTTCAGGCACCTACACTGGCATACAGATAGCCACACACTGACACACCCGTGTACAAGTAATTAAAAGTAACTGGAAAGGAAAGTTTCAGCTCCGTTATCTTCTCCTCAACACTTGCCTCTCCCCTCAGAGAGCGAGCCCTCTCCCTCAAGCTCCCAATATTCTCCTTCCATCTTTTTGGCCAGAATTTCACATGGCCCATCCTAGCTTCTAGAGGAGCTGAGGAGCTACTATCTTGTGTTATATCTGTCTTTGTCTAGTGGGAGGGACAAAAAAGAGGGAATTGAGAATGGCTTTTGATTGGCCAGCCCACATACCTGTCAGAAGCCTTCCTAGGACGTGCATTCATCCATATCTCTAGACAGGAAGTGGTTCCAGAGTGGCTTCTGCGATTGCATTGCTTGGATTCAAATCAAAGTTTCCTGCTCACCTGTTCTGACTTGGAACTTCTCTGCCTTTGTTTCCACCTGTAAAAGCAGGACCAGTGATGTTTCCCGTTCTGTATGATTTGTGTGAATAACCTGAAACAGCACGCAAGCAGTCAATGAATGCCATCAACCAAAGTTCAGCCCTTTTGGATGCAAGGCAAATTTAATGACTACCAAGCTTTTCCTACTTTTGAGCAAAACAACTTGGAAATGTAGCACTTCCTACTTTTAGCTTAAAGCTGACATACACAAACCTCTAATCTGACTTGAAAAATATCCCTAAAAGATACAGTCTTAGTAGAATTTTCCTTCCTTTGTTAGATGGTTTATATCTGACATGCTCATTTATTCAGATATAAAATGCTGTAGGCCTTGTCCAAAGTCTTCATGTGTGGAAGCATCAGAGTTTTAAAAGGCATATTTTGACTAGAATACATCAAATCAAGAATCTGAGACCCTTTCCTGTAATTTGTAATATGTCTATACAATAGTTCTAGAGAACTGATTTGGATAGAAACACAGTGTTATTCTGGCTAGGAGAAAATAAAAGTCTCTGCAGTGTTCTCAGCAATTAGAAAACAATATCAACATAAACGAGGCTGGGGAAGAAAGCAGCTGTCTAAAACACCGAAGGCACTCTATAAATAGCTGATGAACGTGGCATGGGAAAAGGAAATCTAAGCTCTGTGAGCTTCATCTTCTTCCTGGTAGCCAGTCTTCTTCATAGCAGCCTGGGAAGGAGATTCAGCTGATCCTAAAAGAAAAGCAATAGAGAAAACCTCAGAATGGCCTCTAGAGAGTGCTTCTGTCTTACAGGGGAGTGGAGGGTGGGTTCAGCATGCAAGGACTGCCCAGCTGAGTCTTCGAGAGTTAAGGAGAGTCGACAGTGGTGTCCAGGTACATGACTACTCCGTCCAGTAGATGGGAATTCCTCCAGAAAAATAGTAACAGAAATTCTAGCTGAATTTCTTATCTGAGTAGATCAGTCGGTTATTTTCCTCCTACGTGCCCAGTAAGAACCCACGTGATTTATCAGCTTGGGATCCAGTCAGGTGTTCAAACAGTCGCTCGCTGTCTCTAGGTAGTTAACCTGCTAGGTGTGCTATACGCATGCAGTTGTGAACCGTACTGACTGCTCTCCTCTGATTTTTGCCTTCAGAAAACCCGTTATGATATTTATGTCAGCATTCTGAAAGGAGGCGGCAAGGAGCTGCTGAGCAAAGAGGAGAGTGAGCCTGCAGGACTGAAGAAGTCGCATTCCAGCCCATCACTGAACCCAGATTCATCTCCAATCACTGCCAAGGTCAAGCGTAACGTGTCAGAGAGGAAGGACCACCGACCTGAAACGACCAGCATTAAGCAAAAAGTTACTTAGAGTCTGTCTGTGGCCAGGAAGTGCTGGTCATGGAGCAAAATAGGGTTTTTCAAAATCTTTCTGGTAATCCGTGAATATATTTAAAAAAAAAATAGTCTGTGACTAAATGGTGCATTAGTAACTTTTTATATTGTATTTTTTTGTTAATTTCTGTACAGATTGTCTTCGCTCTTGATTTCTTTGCTTTGATTTTTTGCAACTCTGTAACTAATGCACCTTTTTTCGAGGGGCAGAGGATCATGATTTCAGAAAGAATTGCAGATCCCTTCTCCCTCCAGTCCCTCTTATTTGCACTCTGCTCAGTTGTTTTACGTATTCCCAATCAACTGTTATACTTTTTTAAGTTTAACATTTTTAATCTGTTGTGAAACACTTAACTGGACAAACATCGTGGTTTAGTAAATCCTAGCCTTTATATGTGAAACCTTGCCCAGTCACAGAGGTGAACTTGAGTGCCCACAGATGCTTATGTGAAAATGATACCCAGGAGTCAGGGTGTCCCAGGGTGGTGCACCTCTGCCTGCATCGTGGCACTGTTGAGTTCCGACCCTGCTGGAGGCAGGAGAAAGGGAGTGTGAAGATTGCAGGACTGGAGAACGTAGGGAGGCACGTAGCATGCCTCAAGTATGGATTCCATCCCAGCCGAGCAAGGGAAAGAGGAAGTGGAGTCATCTCGCCATTGGAGGCTGAGGATGGGTTGGTACCAAGCTGCTTTTGTTTTCTGAGGGACAGTGGCAGCAGTTAGCTCTTCGGGAGCAGCAGCAGTAGGACGTTTTGTCCGTAGGCATGTGTTACCTCACTCCCACAGGGTCTAGACTAGGAATCAGATTCATCTCAGTCATTGGTAACCTGTCCAGGAACAGATTCGTTATTAATCTACACACATATACAGGCATGAGGTTATGCCCTGATTGTAACAAAATAATGTTGAAAACAGAACCCTTTTGTTGTTTCCTTGTATCAAGACAAATAAGGGAGCAAAACAGTTACAGTTCTTCGGCAAAGGACAGATTCTTTAGACAATCTGAATGTCTGCCTGAATGAGAGGAGGTGGAAGATGGAGGACTTTGCTGGTTGGATGTGTGGTCTCTGATAGCCATCTTACTCTGTCACTATTAAAGTTGCTCCTAAATATCTTTGTATATGTTAAATCTCATTTCTTACCTTATACTCAAAATAATTTCACCTTGCAGTCACAACAGTCACTTTGAAATCCAGGGTAATAAGTACAATGTTGTCTCATAGAGGAAGACAAAAGAATACAAGGTGAGCTTGCTCTGTGACTTACGACTTTAAGATTTCCAGCCCTGAAGCTCTGTGTTCCCTAAAACTGTCATCTTCCCAACAGCACATCTTCAAAGCTAATGGGATCACATCTTATACTTTTCCTCCCTTCGATGTTTTTGCTCTTTCTACTTAGTTTATTAGTTGAAGGTACTATGACCAAAGAATCAGCTGCTCGGCATGAATAGCATGATTCCAGTGTGTTAGAGAAAACCTGCTAGAAAATCATGGTAGTTTCTAGAGATAGATTAGGATGTGCTAGCATCTAGTTACATGAGTATTTATTATCATTTACCTCTCCTGTATACATGCCCATCTTGCTGGTGCCCAGAGAAGATTAACGCCTCTCCAGAACTGTACTTGCTTGCTTTGTGGTATTTTGCCACATCACTGAAAAACCTTCCTTAAACCTGCATCTTGTTTGGGTAAAGACAATGACTGAATTTCTATTTCAGAACCCTGAAACCACCAACATGGTAGTTAACAGTGTGTTCTATGTACCTGAACCATTTCTTAGCTTCCTACTGAATCCAAAATTTCCACGAGCAAGTTGCCTTTCTTCCTAGAAGCTGAGCTATTACTGTTAGTTTTCTGCCTAAATATTTATAGTCCCTGAGTGGAGAGAGGTACCTAGATCTGTCCTCTTTGAGCATCAATAACTAAAGAAGAGTTAATGTGTTTGAATATGTTTGTCCACAGTGTGCAGAGTCTATGTATATAGTGTTTGTTTGTATTTATAGAGTATCTAATACATTGAATGGCACCTTACTGCAATGTTTCTGACATGTAGAATAGTCTTGAAATGTTCATATCAGCACCATCACGACACTATTCCTGTTACAGGATTCTCTAATGTTGACTCTAAGGACTTCTGGGCATGCTCATAGATAATTAGATGATGTAGAATACTGTGTCTGCATCATTTATCTTGAAAAACAACTGTAACATTCTTTTGTGACAGAATCCCAGACTGCCCTACTATAATACTGCCCACCTTTGAGATGGGCCGAAAAATGCCTCTTCCCTGAGGCCTCTGATGAGAGACGCTGCCTACAGGCAGTGTATACAGCAGGTCAAATTTATCCTGTGGTAGGAAACGTCCTCTGGTCTGACTGGATCCTGAGATTCTGGTCTATAGCCAACCACTTTTCCTTGGTGACAAATTCTTCCCTACAGTACCTAGTCAGAAGAAATGGAAGGTGGTCCCTTCCATAGCTACTCGGAGCCTGGTGCCCAATGCACGGTACAGGGAGTGCTCCTCTCCCTTCCAAGGTACTCTACCCAACTACTTCTCACCCTACTTCAGTGTCCTGGAGCCTTGGAGCTCCTCTCTGTGTGATAAAGCATTACCATCTTTACATGAATATTGTAATAATAGATTTTAGTGTAGAAAATCTCAACAAGTCATCAAAGACTTGATGATATTCTTTTTGCAAAACTGTGTATAAAATCTGTGGGTGTTTGGGGCTTCATCCCTATCTCACATGTTGGCTTTGACAAGGGGGTGCCAGGAACTCAATTTTAGCAATCAGAACCTAGTTGCCATGCAAAGTCCTTATTTTATTGGTATAAGTATTTCTGAAACGTACCTTTAAAAAATATCATTTACCTAACTCTTAGCAATGTCTAATTAAGCCAAGTGCTACTTTTGTGCATTTTAATTAATCTCAGTAAAACCAGCCATGTGGCAGAGTCCTGTGATAGAAATAGTTCCTGAATTGTATGTAGCTTTTAAAATTGCTCTTAGGTAAAGTAGATGAAAACATTTTCTCATGCAGAGGTCTGGTGCAGTTTGTGAGGCATTCTCCTCTTCCCCTGATTGCCTAGCCTTAAAGGTGAGGACTGTTTTCCAAGCAAATATAACACGAGGGAATTCATTCTGGAAGAAGAAAACATGGCTGAGTTTCCAGCCCAGCTAGGTTTGTTACTCTAAAGTCAATCCACTGAACTTCAGAAGTTGAGGGGAAGTTACCTAATCAGTAGGAAGTTACGGACAAGGGTTCTGCTTTGCCTTTCTTCCTTTATCATGTAAAGAACAAGGACCAAAGGATCATGTTCTGAGGTAAGGCAGGACCAGCTCTGTCCTGAGAGATACATCTTTTCTGCCTTTTTGAAGTTTAGATGAAAATTGACCTTACAGAAGTCAATTTCTCTTTTATCTTCCCTATCAAGACCTTAGATACGGAATTCGAATTCTTTGGGCATTTTTTTCTGGTAGTCCTCAGTTAAGCTGATTTCAGCTTCGTTTGACATTGTTTCTTAGCTTTGTACATCCACATCTCTGTGGTTTAGCTTTTATGGACTCAATATTTTAGCAGGTCAGTATAGACACCTTTCAGATTTTAGCAGATCCCTTTGCACTTCAAATGACAGCATGTGTTTGCATTGTAAAGCTCCCACTGTAAAACCTAGAACCTAAGTGTCATCCTAGCACTGGTTAAAAACAGAGTGTAGTTCAAGAATGACTGTGCACCTTCTGTTTTGAATAGGAACTGCTTTTGTTTCAGCACATCAGTGTTAGACACAGACCTATCAGTTTCATAGGCACTGAAGCCCTAGACCTGCCATGCTCCATGCTTCCTACTTTAATAGGCTGCTGGTGAACTCCAAGGTCAGCAGCGCTCTCTCTCTCTCTCTCTCTCTCTCTCTCTCTCTCTCTCTCTCTCTCTCTCTCTCTCTCTCTCTCTCTGCCCACATTTGACATCCCCTATCATCAAGCCAGCCAGAGGACTTTAGCGATCCACTAAAATAACCCAATGAGTGACAGGTACTTGGTTCCTCTTTTTCCTCTCAGATTCCTTTTCTATCCCTCATAATTATAAGGACCAAAGGCCAAGGTCATTCTCCCTTTTAATCTGCTTTGGAGCATTGGCTCATTACATTGCAGACAGAATGTCTTCATACAGAGAATGTCAGTAAATACTTGAATCTGCATGATGGTTTGTTGACTTGAATGCAAGAACAAGGAAATACAGCAAGCTAGTTGTATAGATAGTAGGTTTCCTTAGGTCTTGTGGGCACATTCTTTGTAAGTTATGTATGTATCTGTTGTACTGCAGGATTTTGGAAAGTGCTTGTGTAGACAGTGTATCACATGTCAAAGGAAATGCTTTCTGTCATCTGCCAGTGTCGTAATGTGGATATTTATAGTTCTATGTATGTATGTTTATCAGTGTGTAGATTGTGTTATCAGTATATGGCATATGTATATTGAAATTATTTTTGTCTTTAACAACCAGTATAATATAAAAAGAAAGTAAGAAACCTCATAGGATTGATTATATAGTACAATGTTGAGAGTACATACAGTGGTATTGTTTTATTAAACTTAAATTCAAATGATATTTTGATTAAATTTTTAAATAAGACTTTATGCTAGAAAGTTCCATCTTTAAGCTTTGAATTATCAGGGCAAAAATGACTTTGAACTAAACTTGTGAATCTGTTCAGGTGTACAGCGTGCAATACAACGAAAGTAGCGTATTATAATTTGAGAAATACAGAAAGAAATGGGGAAATCCAGCCTGTGTAGTCTTAGCAATTTTAGTATTAAGAGCACTTCAAGTTGAACTGATAATTTGGGGCTTATTACAAAGTGTGATGCTTTAGAGCTCACGTTCTTTATTGTTGTAATTAGTCCAGAAAAATATTTAGCTTTCAGAAGAATTAACTAAGTACCCAGTGAATCCTTTATGTACCGATGTATATTTTAGAGTAGATCAATCACTCTCCTGGTGCCACATCCTTACCCTCTTCTCTTTGAAGGAATGTCACAGATACTGAAGTATATCAGGGCATCCCAAGATCGGGTACTGTATTCCAGGTTCGCAATTGCACAAATTAGCAGCTAGTATCACAGGTAAAAGAACTTTAGGACCAGGTTAAAACTTTATTTAATATTTTTATACTTAGGTCTCTTTTTCCTGCCTCTCCCCAAAGAAGAGCCACTGGCCTTAGTTGTTTGACCTTACTGCTTATATTATAGAGTGTAAATAGTAACTAGAGACTAAAGTTTTATTAACCAGCATGTTTGGTGTATTTAAAGCAGTGACTGATGTGTTTGAATGAGTGGTTGAGTGCAGTGTCTTTTGTTTGAACACGCTGCCTCAGGTCTTTGTGTCTGGTTCAGAGAACTGGAACTGTGGGATGGGAGACTCCTCTTCAGCTCCAGGCTGCAGCCCTATATTGGTAGTACACCTGAGTTTTGTTTTTATTAACTCTACAGTCTCAAACTATTTTTTACAAATATATTTCCTTATTTGTTCTTTATGTGTGGTGAACCGGCTCTGGGCTGATCTGCAGGGTCTGAGCTCTGCAAGAGTATTTTCTTCTAAGAATTATTTACGATTTGCAGAGAACAACCATTTGATTCTGAAATCTTATAAAAATTGAGCAGCAGAAATAAGGTTTAGTTTAGGCTATCATCATTTGAAATGTTTGGACTTTTAATGTAAAGCCATGGGTGTTGCAAAGCCAAGAAACCATTTGACATGGATAATCATATCCACTTTAGAGAGAGTATATATACACATTGATTTTTTAATATTATTAGGATGCTTTTTGAAGCTATAGAGCAAGAGTAATTAGGCCGAATTGAAGTGGAGGGTGAGCTGGCTGCCTTCCACATAGGTTAGTTATGTGTGTGTTCCGTCATCTCTTCAGAGATTCAGAACTGGTTCACTGTCCCCTTAGGTGTTCGGGGAGTAAGTTGCCATGCCCGAGACTTCATCTGTGTATACTTACCTGCACACATGCACATACAATGAATGTTTTAAGTTATACAAATATATGACTTTAAGACACAAAAGGCTGGAGTATTCTAAAGAGTGCTAAACCAGGAGGGTAAAACTGCATCACAAATGTGTTCCAAGGACCAGAGAAGAATTTGATGGCACTCTATTGTCTGAATTTGAGAGGCATTGAATTTTTAACAGAGAAATGAAGGGGGTGCATGCCACGACCTCCTGGTAGACCACCAACATGAAGGCTTCCTTGTGGCTGGCAAACAGTAACTCTCCAGCATGCCCCAGTAGCCCAGGTGAAGTTCTAGCAATCTGGTGTGCACCATTTTCCAGAGTGGCCTAGCCACTTGCCCTGCAGATCATTCAAGGCATGTAAGGAGAAGCCACATTACCCTGGGATCCCCGGCTGTGGCCTGTGTGCTATTACATCACAGCTGTGCTGGTGAGAGCTCGTATTGGGTGGAGCTGGCCAGTTCTCCATCAGCAAGATAAAAGTGAGAGGGAACCCAGCCAAAATGTATTTCCCTTTGCAGGGTGGGGAGCTCAGCTCTCACAAGCAGTACTCTAAAAAGAAACACCCTAACTTCAATGCCTGAAAATGTTGATGAATAAAGAGAATTTTGGAATTTCACTTAGTATTTTCCCCATCAGTCTGCACAAGTCTTTGGACACACCTAGAAGGGTCCCAGTCACAAGGCTCAGTGAAGGATCACACAGCAGGTCTGAGGCTCACTGCTCTAAACCCTGACCCCAGGGCCCTGCAGAGGGAGGTGATCTTCCCTCTCTGGAGCTTCTTGGCCTTCCATTCCACTTGGGCTTCTGCTCAGAAGCAGATAATACTGGGTTCCAGATTCCTTAGGAATCCAGCTGTCCCAGTGGCCTGACCCTGCTATGGCAAGATTTCAGCTCTGAGGGTGGCTCAGTCACTGAGATGAGACATGATAAAGATAACGAAAAAGATTCTCAGCCTAAAGCTGAGACTATTTTGTCTTTGCAAGAAACAAACAGGCACACTGAGTTTGGATCGGGATCAGCAGATATCTTTGCCTTTGCACCCAGATTTCTGGAAATGGATACTATTTCATTTCTATGGGAAGGGTCCAGGAACATAAACTTGCTCAGCAACTCTGTGCCCAAATGAGAGCTGTTGAGCAAAGGCCTACAAGCCTCCCTGCATTGTCGTCTACCTCAAGTTTTCAGAACCCACGTCTAGAATAGAAATTTGCACAAGTGCAGAACCCATGTGGTCAGCCTTGGTTACTGTGGGACATACACAATGGTGGTAGTCTGTATCTTTTAAGATCAAACACGGTATTAGTTTTTGCAACCTAGTCACTGGGTTATATTCACTGTGGTTCCACGTGATCTGCAGTGCTCAACATTCCTTTACCTTCAAAGTTTTCTCCACAATCGTCTCAGTTTCCTCGCAGTCCTGGTGCCACGTGTCCCCTGCAGATTGTGAAGGTAATTAGTGACAAAATAGCAGCCTTCTCCCTTTCAGTGGCCAAACAGTCAGCATCAGCAGACCTGTGTAAGCTAGTGGTACTACACCATATACTGGAAACCTGTTCCTCCTCACCCACCAGGTCCAAGAAATGCCATCTCCAAACTTGGCATTTATGGTGGTCATCTTCTGGATGGAACAGTAATTTATGTGGATATTGTTAAAGTGTTTAAAGAATATTTTGAAAATTAAGTTTACATTTTACAGTTGCTTTATTTTTTATTAAAGTAGTTGTATATAAATATTACCCTATTTCACTGTTATTAAAGTAAATCTTCCCTTGTAGACAAGTGGGTCACCTGATATGTATAGAAGCTGTGATATATATAGTACATTTCTTGATTGTGTAAATGTTCATGACTATAACTGTCCCTGTGTTTTTATAAGTTGAAGGTATTTTGTTGTTTCACAACAACAAAATTTATTGCATTAAAAATGGTTTTTATGTAATAGAAATCATGCAAATAGTGAAAGATTGTAATATGACATATGTAAATGTAAAAACTTTAGAAAGAAATAAATCCAACAAATTTCAATTGTTTTGGTGAAATGGTTTTTTTGTTTGTTTATGCAAGTAGAATTACACGTTTTTAATATTTTTATTTTATGTGTATAAATGTATTGCCTACATATGGGTAGGTGCACCTGTGCCATGCAGTGAGTACCCATGGCGGTCAGAAGAGGGTATTGGATTCCTCTGGAACTGGAGTTTTGGAAGGTTGTTAGTGCCACATGGGTACTGGGGATTGAACCTGTGTCCTCTGCAGGAACAGTCAGTGCTCTGAACCTCTGAGACATCTCTCCAGACCTGAATTATACCTTATTAAAGTAAATAATACAACATGTACCCCTTCCATAAAAAGACAAGCATGGGACCTAGGGACATGACTCAGTGGGTAAGAGCACTTGATCCGTGCCAGAGAAACATGAGGAGCTTGAGCTTGGCTCCCAATACCTACAGAAAACACTGGACATGACTATGCATGCGCCTGTAACCAGTGTTGCTGGGCAGCGATGGAGGCAGGAAGATCCCTGGGGCTTGCTGGCTGCCAGCTCTGTTCTAAGTTCAGTGATGGACTCTGCCCCAAAGGCATAAGGCAGAGAGTGAGTAGGAGACTGGATATCTTCCTCTGGCCTCTGCCCACACACAGGCATGTACATCGTGCGTGCACACACACGCGCACACACAAAGTTGGGCATGGCACACACACTGTAACCTCCGAGCTGAGGAGTCAGAGCCTGGTAAATCTGTGGAGCTCCCTGAACAGCCAGCCTAGTAGAATAGGTGAGCTTCAAGCTTTGGATTCAGTGACAGCCTGTCTCAAAAGATAAGATGGCAAATGACTGACCTATGGAGACCTCTGGCCTCCACACATACCTGCACGCGCACACACACACACACACACACACACACACACACACACCAAGTAAATGAATAAAATATAAATAAATAATAAAATGATGATAATTAGAAGAGACAAGCAAGATGAAAGATTTGGCTTCTGAAGTTGAATGGGGTGATACACACTCATATGGCTGATCAGTCCATGGACATCTGTGAGGATTCATGTTGAAGGCCTTGGTTACTTTAACAGACCTCTCAGCAGCCTGTTGTTTTAATGGGATGCCTAGAGCAAGGGAGGGGAGGAACAGGCAAATTCTTGAAGAAATTTCAAGAATCACTTTCTTCCTATGGACTTTTCATCAAAGCAAGGGGACCATGGAGTTAATTATTGTCCTAAAAATCAAACTCTGATCTCCAAATCATTGTTTTATTGTAGTTAGGCTGTACCTTTGTATGGAAAACTAATGTTAAAATCAACATAAATGTGACTAAGTTTGGAGGTTCATGCCTTTAATTCCAGCTCTTAGAAGGCAAAGGCAGACACATCTCTGAGATTGAGGCCGGCCTGGTCTACATAGTGAGTTCCAGGCCAGCTGGGGCTACAGGAAGACCTTGTCTCAAAAAAAAAAAAAAAAATGAATACCAATTGACTTGGAAAATGAAAAACATAATTCCACCTCAACCTCTGAATATTTCAAAAGATGATCTATCCATGTTAGGAGATCTGGGCTTTTTAGAATGAGGTCACTGGTTATATCTTCTCAAACATAAATAAAAGTGCCTGGAAGAGAGGCCAAAATGCTATGTTGTGCATCTCAAGAAATTAAATTTTGCGAGGTGGGGGGAGGTGCTGAGTTTTTCCATCCCCTGGCTTCTGTTTAAAGCCTGTTTGGAGCTTGAAGCTCAAGTATGAACCTCTCGTTGCCCAGCTGCTTGTCTCCAGAGGAACCTTTATGTCTTGTCATATTCTCTGTGTTGCACAACTAATAATATTAGAACCAAAGGGACTATGAGGATCATTTCTAAGGACCACTTGAAAGAGAAAACTAAAACCCAAGGCTAATTAAGGTATGATAAGTAAGATCTCCGTTTGCATCACATTCCATGTGATAGTATTGGGGGAGAAACCCAGAGAGAGATGTGAGTCACTGTCAAATACAGAAAATTTTTGTCCACCAAGAACAAAACTTAGTTAAGAACAAAGAAGACAATATTTATTTGGAAACTATTAGGACTGCAATTCAGGGAAACAGATTTGAGCAGTCTTGAAATTTTGCTTCCAGGGTGGCTGGAATTTATAGCTTTAAACTGCAAGAGATCTGGAAATTATGACCGTTGTTTGCAAAAGCTAAGCTACTTTGTTAACTAAAGGACTGTGCTTGGTCTTAGTCTCTGAGAGGTTTGCAGAATGAGGGCCTTATTGTAGGACGGCAGGCATTAACACTGTACCAAAGACCAGCTTATGTGTGGGTGTGGGTCTATCTGCAGCCAATTTCAAAGGTATCTGATTATCAATGGCTTCCCAACTCTAAGTTTCTTGATCTAATGCTACTCCAAGAGGAAATACCAGAGATAAGTACAGGAGTATGGGAGTTGGGGGCGGCTCAGCAGGCAAAGCACTTGCCTCACAAAGATGACCTGAGTTCAGTTCTGTTGGGAGCTATTAATCCATTATGTACATTGAGCTGTGGCAGGCTTGCTTGTTTACTGAGTTTGTGTTTTGCACACCAGTACCTAATCTGCCAAGTCAGGAGGAATGTGTTTATATGGTGGAGTTCACAACAAGTATTTGACCGCTCCTTGACCCTCAGATACAGGTGGGAAAAACAGCCGTTGAAACTAATTGAGTTAAGCAACAGTGGCTATGGCTGATGTTCTTCTGTATAAAAAGGCGGAGCTAAAAGAAACCGGGGCTGCGGTCTCTACTGACAGTCCTCCCAAGTATCTTTTCTCTGTCTCTTGTTTTTAATTTCAATCCTCACTCCCCCTTTCAGGTACTGTCCGTCTTGGCCGGCTGGCACCGGCACAGTTCCTCAGAACCCACTTTAAAATGCAAGCTGTGGTGGCGTGCACAGCCAGCACTGCAGAGGGAGAGACTGGAGGATCCCTGGGCTCACTGGCCAGCCACCCTAACCTAATTGGTGGGCTCCAGGCTGGTGAAAGGCACTCCATCAAGGAGGTTGACATCATTCCTGAGAAAGATTCCAGAGGTAGCCATCCAGCCTCCTCATACCCACCCACCCACACGTGTGCTCACACAGGAACACCAATGTACACACACACACACACACACCACAAACTGCGTTTTCTATGCTATAGAACTGCAAGCTTGATTTTAACTCTGGGCATGTTTTTATTGTGAAAGAAAGCCAGCACGAGTTTTCATGAAGAAATTGTCTCTGATTTCATTTTCTATTTTGTTAGACTGGTAGACTGGAAATATGAAATAGATAAAATATTGCAGCCTTAAGGTATTTACTGTGGCCTTTAATAAAGCACTCCTGGGCAACGTGAGAAGTTCGATCTGGACACTTGAACAGTTGGTGGGCATGCAGCCACTTGAACAGCACTAATTAAAGGATGCACACCAACTTGGAGATGCATGTCTAGTGTCCTGCTGCAAAGCCTGCCTTTGGCCCCATCTGTTCAACATTTTAATTAATAACTTGGCAGGAACTACAGAAAGCAAGTTTATGAAAAATGGGTATGTCCTAAAGCTGGAAAGAATGATTACACTAAATGACAGAATCAGGATTCAAAAAGAGCTCATCAGAAAGAGAAAGGCAAAGTAACAATGTGACATGGAAGAGAGGGTGATTTCTTACACTTCAGTTCGAAACTATCACATTGGACTGGGGCTGGAGAGATGGCGCAGTGGTTAAGAGCACTGGCTGCTCTTGCTGAGGACCTGGGTTCAGTTCCCAGCACCCACATGGCTGCTCACAATGACCTGTAACTCCAGCCCTACTGGATTCCATGCCCTCTTCTGGCCTCTACAGGCTCATGTACACACTTGGTGTAGAATCCCAGCTGTCCATGACTCCAGTCCCAGGGGATCTGACAGTCGCTTTTGTCCTCCACGGGCATTGCACAACACTGGTGCACTTACCTACATGCAGGCAATAAACACATACACATAAAATTTTTTTTTTTTAAGTTTAAAAGAAATCACACCTACACAAGTTCAAGCTAGGGGTTTTGAGCTTCATAGGAAAACAAACCACATGGGAAAGAAAGGCTCTAATTTCAATCTACAGAAAACTGAATGAAAGTCAACCATGTAGCCACCAAAAACATTGCCTGCCATCTTAATGCAATGTGAGAGAAAGTGAGTCTGCTGCCCTTGACACAAGACTAAACAAAGTAAATCCTGGAACTGGCATATTCGCACACCAGAGTGTGCAAGCAGTATATCAACACACATGAACCTGGAAATGAGAGGAACATGGAAAAGATGTTAAGGGGAAGATCAACCCAGGACAGGAAGAAGGAAAGCGGGTTTTAAATGTTTACACCTGTCTTGTTTGGGAGGGAAATGGAAATCGTTTGTAGCAACTTAAGGAATCTAGCAAGGATGGTTGAGTGAATGTACAAGATATAAAAAGGGGAACTCTCTAACATTCAAGATTGTCCATAAAGACAGATCAGTGGAGGCGTTCACCTGCAGCCAGGCATCCTGGGCATGAATGTGGAGTGAGGAAGCATCAGGCGGGCCAGGGGACTGTCATAAGGATGGGATATGGGACAGTTGCTGAGCACATACATGCTCACTGCTAAACACATAACACGGGTTCTCTACACCTGGTCTTTTTGCATAATTCTGTGGTGCAGTCCTATTACTCTCTCATTTTAGAGTTAAGGGAAAGCCTGAACCCTGAACCATATTAACACCTTGGAACCTCCTACGTTGGGTTGTAGAAGTGTTAGGGATATTGAAATCACTGTGAAAAAGCCCACCAGACTCAATTCAAATTTTAGTTGATTAAATTTATTAGGGCTATAGCTGTCCGTGGTCCCTTAATCAGATTCAGGGCCCACGGCCCCGAGGGAAGGGCAGAACTAGCTTTTAAAGGCAAAACCACAAATACCATAGGAATTTCATCACACATGAGTAATGCCAGGTGGTCCTGAATATGGTCAGGATGCCCAAGTTAGCAGATAAGCAAACTACAGAAGCCAAAGCAAGCTCCT